TTTGGTTTGAGTTTAGCTAACGGTTTGCTATAACAATGTCTACGAAAAAGCTTTTGTCGCAGGTTTTGACTGAAGACATAGTGATCAGTGGAATGGGTGGTCGGTATCCGGAGGCCGACTCCACCGATGAGTTCGCACACAATCTGTATAACGGAATCGATATGATTACCGAAGATAATCGTCGCTGGCCTACAGGTCTGTACATTATTTTTATTTTAATATAAATATTACAGTAAATAGTTTTAATGTTTATATAAATTATAAATAAATTGCATAATGTTTTAGTCTATAAATATTAGAACAAATTTTTATAGATTTAGAAGTTTGCTAATGAATTATCAAAGGTTTTTGGTTATTTGAATAACTTTTGAAACTTAAATGACTAGTCGATATTTATCTTACACTTATTGAATTTAATACTGATAATTAATTATTTAAAACAATTTGATTAATTAACCACTTTTACTAAATATACATACAATGAATAGATTTGTTTGGAATGAACCCTCGAATGGGAAAATTGAAAAATATTGATAAATTTGATGGACTTTTCTTCGGTATAATGAATACAATGTCTGATGTTATTGACCCGCAATCGAGAATGGCTTTGGAGACCACTTACGAGGCTATAATTGACGCCGGTATGACACTAGTTATAAATACATGTTATATAACTTTTATAATGTTTATACATTCTAATAATTTATAAAATATAGGTATAAATCCTCAGACACTTCGGGGTTCAGATACGGGAGTGTATATCGGGTTCTCGACGTTTGGTATGCCTGACGGCACCCCCGAAGACGTACAGCCGGACTCTCAGAACAACATGACTGAGACATTGCTATGGCTTCCCGGCTCTCAGAAGTGTCTGTACGCCAATCGAGTGTCGTTTGTGTTTGACTTTCACGGCCCGTCGATGATCATCGACACCGCCTGCTCTTCCAGTTTGGTTGCACTCAATGCTGCCGTCAATGATATGCGATTGGGTTTGTGTTCAGAGATTTATAATTTATATATAAAAATAAAATAAATTTAATTTAAATGACAGGAAAGTGTCGTCAAGCTATTGTCGGCGGCACTCAGATATGTCTTCAGCCGTTCTCTAACCAGATCTTCCAATCGACTCGTCTGAACGCATTCGACGGCATTCCCAAAGTATGGGACGAAAAGGCCGATGGATTCGTTAGGGGAGAGACTGTTTGCTGTTTTCTTTTGCAACGCAAATCGGAGGCCAAACGTATTTACGCCACTGTTTTGAACTCCGGAGTGAATATCGACGGAAACAAAAGAATGGGAATGTTTTACCCCTCGGCTGAGAGTCAGGAAGATTTGATGATTAAAGTGTACG